TGTGAAGTGTATGTGCGCGTACGCGGGCCGTCTGGTGCTGTATTGGCCTATGAAAGCGAAATTGGCCAAATAAAAGCACGTGTAATAATAACTGCCAGCAATTGGCGGCAATGGCATGTGCCTTTGAAATTTTGGAAAATTTGCCTTGAAGTAATGCGTTCTGTTTTGCACAGTCTTGCGTGCGTTTACCGGGCCTTTCCGCGGTCTTTCCCAATACGGAAATACTGTGCGAACTTTCCTTTAATTTCCCTGAAGTGGAATATGTTTTAAATATTCTAGCGTTTTAGTCGACTAAGTGGTTAGTGGGAGAGGGAGAACGACGAGCATACGATTACCGCAGAGCTATGTCGTAAAGTAAGCGTGTTGTGGTTCTTACTGGTTGGTTAGAGATGCATGTTGTTGTTCTGTCCTCGTTGCAGGAGAAGTGTCACAACTTTGTACGAGTGCTGCTCATTCACAAGGATAGTGTTTTCACCTGTGGAACGAATGCCTTCAAACCGATGTGCTCATGGAGAGAGGTGTGTATCATAGCAAGCTGCTAGCAATGTAATAACGACCTCTCCATTCTCCCGCATCCCTTTCCCTAGCGTTGTCGAGTTGTTCTTGTGTGACCTGCAACCATGCATAGCAAATTGCGTTTGGTCGTTAACGTCAACTGACTCATAAAACTGGATATAATTAGCATAAATATTATAATAATGATTGATGCATGATTAGAGGATTAATGGAATCTCTCATGCATATTGGGTTGCGTTTCATTGTAAATGCTACATTGATAGCCCAGATAAGTTATACTCCCAGCTTCTACCAGCGAAATTCTAGACCAGATCAAAGACTCGAAGCTATAGGCCCCCCCTACTAGCAAAAAGTGGATTTTCGCTCTACTCCTAGTATACCAATTAATCACACACATGATAAATACGCGGCTCACGCAGAGTGGTACTTCTATGCCCATTGTAATCGCACGCATTTCTATAGCAACAATCCCGTAGCGCCTCGTATGTTAATTCGTATTGTGTCCGCGCTGCGCCTCTGCCATCGTTGTTTCGTCGTGTGTGCAGATCGAGCGCTTGAACGCGGTGAGCGAGTGGGTGGATGGCATAGCCAAGTGCCCATACTCGCTCGAGCAGAACTCTACAGCTCTGTTTACGAGCGACGGAGACTACTACGGGGCAACCGTGCTCGATTTCACAGCGCGAGACCCGGCAATCTACAGAATCATGGGCGATCCTCCGTATCTACGCACGGCACAATACAACGACAAGTGGCTCAACGGTAAGAAGAAAGGGCCGAGCAGAGCGTTGACTCGCGAGCGAAAGAGATTTGCATTTGTTTGACCGATTTTCCAGGGTAATCTCAGATCTGCGTGTCTGGGTTTGAATCTGGGATAATCCAGTTACAGAAAGTTGTACAACTTTTGTATTAGGAAGAACTGACAGTCTTCGTATGTCACAAGGGGGTTTGTCAAAATTTGCAAGTCGCGGGTCATAATTGTGTCTCAGTTGAGTTTAGCTGGCAAGCTCTTTCTAGATTGTGAAGCATTTCTGTGGCAATTGTTGATTTTCGCGTTGTTACTAAGCCGTTGGGGAATGGTTCGTTTTTGCACTTTCTTAACCATGTAGCTTTGTAGCGGCTTAGCAATTATTGCTGACAGTGACGCGTACGATATCATATTTTCCTCCTGTTGGGACGCACATGAAATCAGTAGGCGCAGGCACATCATCAAGGTCTTAACGCCATCGTGTGGTCAGGAAATGAGTCTTACGCAAGCAATACATGCTGAGACACAGCGTTTATATTTCCATATAATCACGTTTATAGGTCATTGGTGGTATTGAAACAATTTATCGCATGATCTCGTTAGGAAACTCTTACCTCTATTTCTAAAATGTGTATCAATGTCATGCCGTGCCTTTATTTACATTATCACTTACATTCATTACTCATTTCACAGATCCTGACTTTGTGGCATCCTTTGAGATCGGAAACTTCACATACTTTTTCTTTAGAGAGATTGCATCGGAATCTGCTGGCTGTAGCAAAGTAAGTCTTTAGTTTTGTCTTTTGCACAGATGACCTAATTCTGAATGGATACCATTGTCGATACTGGCCTGGATAAATGCAAAAAAACACATTTGGTTCTATATCCGCGGGCATATATTTGATCTAATACACTTGACATAATATGTTTTTGTAGAGGGCCTCTGTTGTTCGTGAAATCATGAATATCAAGATGTAAGACGACTTACCTAATCAAACAAGTGAGCAGAGCTTTACTTTTCTTTGCAGACGGTCTACTCGAGGGTAGCAAGACTCTGTAAGAAAGATAAAGGTGGAAACTTGCTGATGGCAGACACTTGGACGACCTTCGCCAAAGTCAGACTCAACTGTTCGCTGCCCACCGAGATCGTATTCTACTTTGACCAAATACAGGACGTCTTTTTTCACGCACTGCAGAGGAGGTTTTATGCTGTGTTCACCACGCAAGTGTAAGTTGATGCCAGACAGGGTGTATACTGCTGATGTAAAAGTGCAAGTTGATGCCAGACATGGTGTAAATAACTGATACACAAGTGTAAGTTGATGTCAGACAAGTTGTAAACTGCTGATGCACAAGCTGCTTGTGAAGTGATGGCAAGCAAGGTATCCTTGCGTACGTTTCGTGCATGCGATGCGTTAGATCATTTATGGCAGTTTCTCGTTTCTAGGAGTAGTATCTTTGGTTCGGCTGTGTGTGCATTCGACATGGAGGCTTTGGAGGATGCATTCGCTGGTCCATTCAGCTACCAGAAGGATATGCACAGCCAATGGGAACAAGTACCCAATCTACAACAGTTAGAGGTAGATACTTACATTTTATAATTTGAAAAAATGCCAGCATGTAAACGCAAACATAATATTTGTATAAATCGATTATTTTGTATTGCACCTATGAATTCTTTGAAGCTGTGTGAAGGTTTTCCACTAGTGTAAAGTAATTTATGTTTCGATCGTAAACCATCCTCTTGTTTCATTCAAGTGTGGTGCTGGGACAGAGCGGTCAACACGGGCTTACATGGAGCGACAGAAGTACCAGCTCATGTACCTAGCAGCCCAACCAACCCAGCCAACACCTCTATACACAACAGAAATGGAGAGGTACACACTCTAACTAGATACAGCCCTCTGGGTCCATGCGTTTGTATATATGCTTTTGATATGCAGTTTCCTTAAAGGGCTCTGTTTCCCAAACTCTGGCACGATCATTAACACAGCATTGAGTAACAACTACTGGTTTAGTATGGTAGGCTAAACATTATAGCAAAGTAGGTGAGGGTAATGGGAGTGGACAGTCTGTGTGTCTTAATCCACCTTTATCTTACTTAACAGTCTGTGACCAAATTTAATACTTTCATCACAAGCTAAAAACACCCATGTGCTAAGAACCGTATAACTATTACCCGTCGATAACTACACCCCATATCTCTTCGAATAACGGGGACTCACGTTAAACGCACGGATGCTCGTTTGTCTATAGGTTCAGCCACGTCGTCGTCGATAACGTCGAGATAAAAGGCGGCGAGCTCGTGGACGTGATGTTCGTCGCGACGGAGGCGGGAACGATTAAGAAGCTGGTGAAGCTGTCTCATCTCGAGCACGCGTGCCTCGTCGAAGAACTGATGCTGTTCCCGGTCGACGCCCCGCAACGCGTATACGTGCTCAAGCTACTGTCGTCTGAGGTGGGTGCAGTAGTGAGGTTATCCTGTCACGATCGGTAATGATCGTCAGAGGTGGGTTTGTCATAAGTGTGCAGGTCGTCAGTGGTGAGGTGCTAACATAACTAACTGCTTTGATTTTCTTAACATCTTTTTGATTTGCTGACGTCATTTTTGTACATTTACAGGGTGCCTTATATGTAGGAACAGATGAGGGAGTCATAAAGATAGACGTTGAACGCTGTGATAGGTTCAAGACGCGTGGGTAAGAGATGCATCAGCTTCTCCTGTAGATGTGTAGATACTTCTTTCATTACTCTGTGATTGCTGGTCATGTGTAGAGCTTTCAATGTTAGAGCTTCTTTTGTAGAAGCATATTAGCTTCGTTCGATACACCGTAATTGCTGGGAAGAACTACAGTGAGATTAGCTTGTGATACAGCACTTAGATTTGCTGCTAATACAAATTTAGAACGAACCGTTGCCAGTATATTTCGTTCTGTATTGCAGGGAATGTTCGCCGACGTCGCAGGACCCGTACTGTGGCTGGAACAGTCGTCTGAGCAAGTGCACGCGGGCGCCTGCAGGAAACACGCGATCTCCCTACTGGCTGCAAGACATACATGCTTGCCCCGACACGAGCGAACCAGGTGAGGCAATCGACCTGTCAGTGTCTGACGTGTGCGCGGGGAAAAATGATACAGTATACAATACGACAGGGTTCCCCCAAGAAATGTCGCCAACCTCTAATGTTCTACATCATCTAAATACACGCCTATTTTATTATAACCGTAGTTGTATAATATTCTAGTGATAACTGTTATGTATTACTGAATTATTTTGCAGTTAATGGTGGGTTTGGACCGTGGAACGACTGGACCAAGTGTAACCACGTCGGCGTGTTGTCACCGGGAGAGGAGTGCTTGTGTCGGATGCGAGATTGCAACGACCCACCGCCAGCCAACGGTGGCAAGAATTGCCGAGGCCAGCGGGTGCAGGTTTCCAATTGCACTAGTGAGTTATACCAACGTTACCTCGTTGACATCACTCAACCTGTCTCTTCATTATTACTGGCTTTATTAACAATCTCAATCGCGTGATGAAATCTTAAATATATCATAAAAAGGATACATGTATGTACATATATACATGTATATATCGAGTATACCGACACCTTACCGACGAGTTTTTGAGGTCTCCAGTCGCTGCATGCTTGACAAAAACGTAACAGACTAGTCCAGCTTGGCCAACCTAGCAACGATATGTAGGGAGTGGGGTGTGGTGATCTCTCTCTGATCAATGGATACATGCCTCTTGATACATATGATTATAGATCTCTCTGATCGATGGATCCATACCTCTTCATACATATGATTCTAGATGTCTCTTATCGATAGATCCATACCTCTTGGTACATATGATTCTGGATCTCTATGTTTCCATCAATAGATCCATTTCGCTAGAGCTCATGAATCTGAGTTAATAACTAATCGAACTAACGATCGTCGTCCGTGTTTCAGCGCACGGAGGCTGGACGCCGTGGTCAGAGTGGTCAGCCTGCTCCTTGAGCTGCGGCCGCGCGATGAAGACGCGGCACAGGAGGTGCGGCAACCCGGAGCCGAGGTTCGGCGGGAGAGTCTGCGTCGGCAAGGAGACGGAGGAGGACGCGTGCGATTATGTGCCGTGTCCAGGTGCGTGCGGTTTCGCTTATCCTAGCAATATTCACTGCTTTTGTATCTTTGTTTCTTCATTTTTATGTACTGTTTATGTTGGTTTCCTTGCAACATCCACAGCTGAATTTATGTGTCTCAGTGTATTCATTTTGATGTACTAGCTGTTCATTTTTGTCGGCTGAAATATTATCTCTATCTATAATGAAATATATATATATATCAGGAGTTAATAAAGACAAATTGTTGTCTTTGTCTTTATTAACTTTGTCTTAACGGTTTGTCTTTATTAACTCCTGATATATATATATATAAAATGTTATTTTATAATGTGACAATCATAACTTTATGTGGTCGTACGCAGTGTTGCCACCACCGAAGCAAGATGGCGGCTGGTCGCCGTGGAGCGCGTGGAGTCGGTGCAGCGCGGAGTGTGGAGGAGGAATGAGGAAGCGTTCGCGAACCTGTGATAGTCCCGAGCCTCGCTACAACGGCCTGCCATGCAGCGGCTGCGACGTCCAGTTCAGCCCATGCAGCGAAGAGCCATGTCAGGGTAAGCGCGTGGCTCTGCTATATACTTTGACCTGCTTCATCCAGGGGCACGTTGGCAATGTATAGATCGGGTGCCGGTATCAATAGAATAATTGTTGTGCTTTTGTTTTGTCGCGAATATCGGGTTTGTGCAATCGGATTTGAGCGTGGCATCATTTTCTTTGTATGTCTCGGTAATAGGTAAAAGATACCTATATCGGGAATTTCCAGCCTTTACCACCTGAATTGCCACTCACTTTATCGTTTGACACAAACCTTACTGTACACAGAGGTGAAGAAGTCTACGCCGTGGACGCTGTGGGGCAAGAACAACGTAACGAAGGACGGCTACTTTGAGCAGAGGTTTCGCTTCACGTGTCACGCCGAGGTCCCCGACGCCAGTCTCATGCGCATCGGAAACATGCGCAAACAAGAGCGCTTCTGTGTAGATGGCGCCAGGAGCTGCTTGAATTCGGGTGAGTCGATCGACTAGACTCGCATGGGTAGAGAGCGATTAATCAGTGTGATTTGATGATGAATGATTCTATTGGTCACTTTTGTTGTATCGATCCATTGAATACTGAACAGTTGGATTATGAATTGTCGCGCGTGCCGCATAAATATTGATGTAATATATTACCTAATACTGTCATGTGAATTATAACAACAGTCCACCTAAATTATTGTTATTGTTTACCAACATAAAGTGTATAAATGAACCTTTTTCAAATACCCCTATGGGTCTACATAAGGGTCAGCAGAAAGAAATGCATCCACTTCACGTGATATTTAATCGATATTTGTCTTGATGTATAATTGATATTTGATCGATGCTTGTGATATTTGATCGATGTTTGTCATGATATTTAATCGATGTTTGTCTGCTTCAGCATTCATCAACAACGATGGCGAGTGGTCGTCATGGCAGGAGTGGTCGTCGTGTACGGCTGAGTGTGGTGGTGGAGTACAGACGCGCAGCCGAGACTGCAACAGTCCTAAACCGGTCGGCTCGGGAACCGACTGTGAGGGCTACGGCCTCATGCAGAGACAGTGTAACATGCACTCCTGCCAAGGTAAAAGTCACAGTATTACCTACAAAATTCCTTCCCTGGTTTGCTGTAACTAGATGCTGGCTGGGTAAAATCGTACTAAGCCTAACGTTTTGTAAACCTTGTCTTACATAGTATCAGGAGTCTATTAATATTGATTAGAATAAATAAAGATATCTATTGATAGACTCCTGATACTATACTATAAGTGCACCAAATGGGGATTTTTATCACAATTATCACAATGTATTATCCGTAGTGGGTCTCATTTCTGCAAGTAGAAAATCCGGTGTGAATCGATTTGTTTCACATGTGCTGTCTTTGTGAAGAACATTTTGGCCAGTTGCGTTGCAAACAACATCATTGGATTTCAGAACATAATAGACTATTAGATAAGATGATTACTAGTTAATCACGAGATAAATCCAAATTCACCACCGAATTTGTACTCATCGCCAAGTTTCGAATCACCGAGCTGTCTTTGCAAAACGCTGAACCTCTCCTGATTACATGAGATTCAAGTATACTAGAACTAGATACTATAGTATATATCAAGATACTAGTGGATTCGAGTAAGCGTTCAACTCTCTCCATCGTGCGCAGGTGAATGGTCGTGCTGGTCGCCGTGGAGCGAGTGTTCGGTGACGTGTAGTACCGGCACACGCCGCCGTACCAGGGAGTGCAGGACGAGCGGCAGCCAGGAACGCACGACCGCGTGCATCGGCAAGAGCAGAGACGAAGAAATCTGTGAGATGGCGCCGTGCGAACGTAAGCGACGCCATCTTGTGTTGGAAATGTAGTGTTTGTTAGTAGGAAAACGTATAATTAAGCGTGAGAGTGTATAGTAGAAGTGTGATCTTAGTCGGTCTTTATCGCAACTAAAAAATTGTGTACTTGTTATCATATTTAGTACCATATTTTTAATTCCTGTTACCAGATACCCGTCATTTCTGCTTTCACCTACGACTCTTTACGTTCCTTATTGAAGTCGTTCCTCGTTCCTGTTACTAATTTTCCGTATCATTTCCGCTTTCGCTCACGACTCTTACATTCCCTATTCCTCATTCCTGTTACTAACTTCCTATCAATCTGCTTTCACTCACGACTCTTACATTCCCTATTCCTCATTCCTGTTACTAACTTCCTATCAATCTGCTTTAACCCACGACTCTTACATTCCCTATTCCTCATGCCTATTACTAGCTTCCTATACATTACATTCACGACTCTAACGTTGGGTTCTGCGCGTCGTTGCAGTGGAGATCGGCTGGCATCAGTGGTCGGCATGGTCGCTGTGCGACGGCGACAACAACCGGCACCGCACGCGCGTCTGCAAGGAAGCCGAACCGAACGCGACGCAGTGCCTCGGCCCCGGCGACGACACGCGCGCATGCTCCTTCACGCCCATCGTGCAGGAATCGCGCTCGCCAGGGGGCGCCGGCATCGCGGTGATGCACCTCGCCATCGCGTCCTGCGTGGCGTTCGTCGTCGGATGCGCGATCAGCATCGTCGTCATCACGTGGTACCAGCGGCGGCAGCGCGGCGAGCCGAACCGGGAGAGCGCGATCAACAAGGCAGACCTCTTCATGCCAGTGAATCTCGAATGGAAGAACAACGAGACGCCGCTGGCGGGGACGACGTACCGTAACGCTCCCGTCACGCGTAACGGATCCATGCTGCGCAACGGGACGATCGTCAGCGGCGGCGGCGGCGGGGGCGGGACGTTGCCGCGGGGACCAACGATCACGCGCGGACAGTCGCTGACGCGTAAGACGAACCCGTACGGAACGCTGCAGCGCATGACGGTGAAGACTCCGGCCGAGACGGAGTCGTTCAAACGCGTCTCGATGATGAAGGACTACGACCAGATATGAGACGGACGGAGAGAGAGAGAGAGAGAGAGCATGCACCGAGCAGTATTAGCAGCTGGTTGTGCGAGGGAGAGTGTGCGCTTTCAACGTGAAGCTAACTTTCAATGGGAAGATAACGCTCACAACTTTCGATGTGAAGCTCACGCTCGTGCTCGCCTGGATAGCGGGAGCGACGATCCACCCGCGCTCGCAACACTGCAGCTAGCTGTGCACAGACGGAAGCGCGTGCGTGGCTGTGCGCTTTCGACGTGAAATCAACGCTCGCTACTTTCGACATGAAGCTTAACGCTCGCACGCCCCTGGATCGCGGCAACAACCAGCGTTCACACTGCAGCTAGCCGCGCACAGATAAGCGGGAGTCACCCCTCGCCAACACGAACGTCGGACGCGCCGCGCTGCGAGCGTGCGTGCCGAGAAAGTGCCGCCGTCGACTCGAGGAATGGCTTGAGGCAACGCTTCGTGAAACTAAGCGCGAGCGGCAGAGAGGTGCTGCTGACTGGAGGGAGGTCCTCCCTGACTGGGTTGGCTGCGTCTGTGTCAGCCTGCGTCTTGGAGGAAAGTGCTGGGAAGCAGTGGAAAAGCAGCAGCAGTGGAAGCATGCGGTGGTTGATGCAGTCGCGCTGTACTCGTACGAGCAAACACTGCTGTGTGCTGCGGCAATCATCCTAGTAGATATACAGGCTCATGATGTAGATCGTGCGTGGCAGAGAGAGAAAGAGTGAGAGTAAGCGAGAGAGAGAGAGAGAGACAGTGTGAGATAGAGGGAGAGAGAGAGAAAGAGGTAGGGAGGCGGAGAGTGAGAGAACGAGAGAGCGCGCGAGAGAGAGAGAGAGAGAGAGAGAGAGTGTCTGAGAGAGAGAGGGAGAGAGTGAGTGTGTGTGTGTGTGTGAGAGAGAGAGAGAGAGACGATCTACGAAGAAATAGATTCTTCTTTCTGCTTGTACATTTCAACAGGCTGAATATAAATATTGTAAATTGTCACCTAACATGTAGTGATCAGATTGTTTCATCTGAGATTGCGCCATGTAGTAAGGTCAACGAAACGCATGCGCCTTCGAAAATTGAATCAAGTCTTGAATACCTTGGGATATGTATGCCAACAATGCTGTGTAGTTGTTACGGAAAATAACTTGTAATCGATGAAATTAATTAGATAACGTTTCACTCTCGAGTTTACAGCGGTTAAACTCCTAGCTCTCTAAGTCTACTTCTGGGTTCAAGTTTTACATGCGAACCACGTGAACTTGTTTCAAACGCGAGAGCAGTGACGTGTGTTCATTCGAGGAGAGAATGATCATATTTAATGAGATGGCAGCTCTGGGCTGGGACCAGATATTTCCCATTACGTATAATCTTCAAACAAAATTATCATTTTATGGAGTCGAAATGGTTATAATGGAGGTACACTGTATAATCACAATTTGTCCAGGTAAGATAGAACTATTTTGTCATTATTGGCCCGCAGTTTTTGGATGTTTTCGTTGTTAGCTAGTTAATTGTATGTTCAACGTTCTGTATAGTGATTTAATGTACGGACCTTTGACCGTAGTCTTGACAACGCCATGTAGTAATACCCTCTCTGAGATTTCTCCATCATATCAGGAGTCTATCAATAGTCTTTTGATACGGATAGTCTCCTGATCATACCATTGCACTGTAAACCTTTGTGATATAGCAGTGTGCCGTGTGGTTTGTACATTTCATTATCGGAAGCTGTAATTGTTTCACTATTAATTTTATGAATCGATTGATGGAAGATAAATAGTGTGTCGTGGCAGAACAAAAGTCACAATAATGTACCTAAGTGTGTGACACCAGCTATAACGAGCTTACGATTTACTCTCTATCAGAATGCTCTTACCACTCTTACGATTTTCAGCACATATTCCATTACATATTCTAACTTACGTAGAAAAACATTGTACATTGGTGTGTAAATCACTATGCGTAGCCCCAACCAGTCCCCAAGTAGGATAACTGATATTCAGATGATGTAATCAATATACATTATAGGTATAATGTTTTACAGAGTTGCAATTTGCATTAGTTGCAAGCCACCGAATTATCTTTCACATTCAAGGGGCAGATCGTGTGAACATTGGACATGAGTGATAGAACGATGTATTTCCGTTATAATGGAGCGAGGCATTCTTAAAATCATTATCGAGCCAATTTCTGTAAATATTGATTACGATTAAGATTTGTGTCCTATTTATGTGTAAAAAAGAGCGAAGAACAAATGATTGTTGGACGAATCGTTTACGAAAGCCTTCTGTATAACTGAATAACACATGCACACATGTATTTAGCAAGAGACGTGATCAGATTGTTCAAATAATTGATGCTTTTCCCTATAACTATCATTGATCACTGTATCACTAGATAGTTGGTGCTTGGTATACTCATAAACCTTCATAATCAAATGAGAAGTTGTGCACGTGATTGGTTACACGTCGTCACAGTAATGCAGCAGTGGAGCGGACATCCTCTAGATCATTTCTGCTTCGGAATTTTGACAAGACCATGTATTACAACGGCTGTCTAGTTACACATTACCATTTGGATATCACGTCACTCGTTATCTGTTTCACGCGTTGACATGAATCATGTTAGTTACACCATGAAATTAGCACGAGTTTGTGCGACAGTAATTGTTGGCCATTCGTTGACATATCATTTTTCTACATGAACAAAGCTCGGTACGGTAATATGCCGTACGCGCGCACGTGTGGGAGTCGAATGGAAGCGACGCCATGTAAATAAAACCATCTAACACCTATATATACAATTCTTCTTTTCTTTTCTTTTTTGTTCAATCGTATATCTACAAAATATGACAACCAAATTCACTAGGTGGCGTTCTGTTCTCTGTTCAATGCCACACAAAGGTACTAGTACAAGTAACCATGACGTTGGCTTTCAAACAACTATATTTACAATCAGGAGCTAATAAAATAAATGACAAATTTGGCATTATTAGCTCCTCTTACAATGTACATACGATTTCATATGGGACCTACTTTACCAAAACCAAATGAAACGGTTACTCTAAAAGGCTAACACTATCGAAAATTATGCAAGCTTATTCCAACATGACTATATTTACAACACCAACGTTCACTTCGCTTGTACTGCTATGTAACCAGCACAAATTGCCCTAACCCTATCAAAAATACTCTAACGTAATATTATATATATACAACTCTTTCGATAAATACGATTTACTGCCGCATAACTACGAAAATAATGCGAATACAAAGCTTAACCTAGTGCGATTAGGAACTCATGTACATGACACACATTTACAACACTTGTTTTAACCAGATGTACCTCCACCGCAACTCGATCACTCTATAAATTCAGTGGCCGACCGAGCGAAAGCAAGAACTCTGTGAGTTCCTCGTCCTCCGCCCAGTGAACACCGCTTCCCAGGATCAGACTCTGAATCATGTTCCGCTGAACAACGATCTTCGCTGTCACGTTCTCGAGGTTCTCCTTCTCCCGCCGCACGCTCCCCCCGCCGCCGCTCTCCGCCGCTGCGATCGCCTCCCTCCGCTTCTCCTTCGCGAGTGTCAGCTCCGCGGTTGCCGCGCGGTTCTCCCGCTTCATCGTCAGTCTCTTGGCGACGACCCCGTCGACCTCTCGGCGCGCCCGAGCGACCCCGTCTTCCTCGGCGAGTATCGCCGACGACAGCGCCGCCTGGTAGTCAACAAGGGCGGCGAGGGTCGCCCGAGCGTCCCCGCCGTCGCCGCGTCCGTCCCCGGCCCTGCTCGCTTTATCGTCGTCCGGGTGCAGTGTCTGAAAGAGGGCGCCTGAGAGCTGCAGGCGCTGGAGCAGTGTCGTGACGACGTCGTGGTCGGAGCGCGCGCGCGTCAGCTCGTCCTGCAGGTGGGCGACGCTCAGCTGCAGACGGCCGACATCGGCGTCGTCCGACCGCTCGCCGTGCGTCGTCGCGACGACCTCGTCGAGTCGGTGCCTCAGCTGCTCCCGCTCACGCAGCAGACGACTCAGCTCACTGCTGCTGCTGCTGCTGCTGGTCCCGGCGTCGCCAGCGAACAGCGGGTCGAGTTCTCGCGGTCGCGACGGAGATGCTGCGAACGTGAAAAGACCGCGGTAAATTTCAAATTTATGATTCAACGTTGAACGTGTTTGGCATAAGCTTGGTCATTGGTTTAGTTAATAATACCTATGTAGTCATAATAGTATGTAGATATGTTCGTGATGATACATCGTATAATAAATTAAGGATACTCAGCACGTTGCGCATGAAATTTTATCGATTTTTGGTTTTCGTTTTTATACGCTCGCTTACACTAGAGGCCACCTCTGTACACACTCATTTCGCAATATACCAGTGCGTGTCAGCTTTTACAGCGTTTTCATTGTCCACGCGCCTGGGGCGCACCCTATTGTGAAAAATAGAAAAACGCTGATTTCTCCCTTTCGAGTTCTGACATAGTAGCCGATGTATAAATGGATATTTCTCTGTGATTAAAACTCGGATTAATTTAATTTTACACTCGTTTTAATGGTAACATTTTGTGGTAAAAAAGCGCGTCAGGGATTGTTAATAAGTGCCTTATTTTATTAGTTATGCCTCTTTATTCGCTAAAATTTTCAATTT